AAAAATTCATCATGATACATAGAGAAAGAATTCAGGTGTTAACTATTTCATTCTACTTGAAACAAAAATCAGCATCCATCAAGAACTTGAAATATGTATTGTGTTGGGCACAGCTGCTGCGAAGACCTTGTCAAGGTTTAAAACAGCAAGGCTGCCACTGTGGTGACTCCTATGTGTCTGACTGCAGCTGTGAGCTGGTCCGTCCCTCACACGCAGGTGAAAGTTGGAGAGTTGCACAGCAAGGCAGAGAAGAACTGATGGCCCCGAACTGTGGTGCTTTAGGAGAATATTAAGTCTACTAAGGCCTGCCAAAGAATGAACAAATCTGTCTTACAAGAAATGCATCCAGAATGTGCCTTAGAAACAAGAATGGCAAAACTTTATGTGGCTTGCCTTGGTGATGTGGTCAGGAAAGACTAGTTGCTAGAATGGGACATCCTGTCCACGAGAGGGGTTGATATGGTAGCCGTGGCAGTGGACTCAAACTAATGGCCAGGCACGTTGCACTGGACCACCTTCATCTTATTTATGAAGAAGGATGTGAAAATAGGTAGATTTACCAGTAATTTTAGAGACAATTTACCTAGTGATATAAAATTTAATTATATCTGAGGTCTCTGCTCTAATTACTAGGTAAATCATATATATATACAAATTCATAAGGTTTTCTGATACAACTCTCAAAAGAACAGACTCACTGCCGTCTAGTTTATTCTGACTCACAGCAACCCGATAGCACAGGGTAGAACTGCCCCCAGGGGTTCCGACGCTGTATCTCTTTCTGGGAGTAAGTAGCCTCGTCTTTCCCTCCATGGAGCAGCTAGTGGCTTCGAACTACTTACCTGTTGGTTAGCAGCCCAGTGAGGACCCATAAGCCACCAGGGCTCCTACTGGCCTATATACATTTCTTATAAATTCAGTAGATATCATGATTTTTGTTCAGGGATTCTTTTTTCCATCACTGCTTTATCTTAAAGAAAACAAATTCTTCAAGGTGATTTTAATTTATCCAACATGATAGTAACTATTGAGAGAGATGGTTGCTATGTACCAGGCACTGTGACTGTCTCTCGGTATACTAATATTAGTAAAGTGGTCCTTGTCTCTAGACGTTCACAGTTTGATCAAGGTACCAACACATGGGTAAAGACAGTCCACGATTTGTTCATGGATGCCTATTTTAGTCTGGCTGCCTAGAGATAATGGGACCATTTTAGGAGGCAGTTGTTGTTCGGTGGTGTAGTCAGTTCCTACTCAAAGTCAACCGGTGGACAACAGCGTGAAGCGCTGCCTGGTCCTGCACCACCCGCACGTGTGCCACGCTCGAGTCTGTTGTCGCAGCCACTGTGTCCGTCCATCTTGTGAGGCCAGATGGAAGCGAAAGGCATCAAGAGAAGTGGGTAGATAAGAAAGAAGCGTATTCTGTACGGAAAACTATAAGCAGATCAGTATGAGGTTAGAGAGAAGCTTCATTATATGAATTGTTGTCTAGTTTTACTGTATGATTTTTTTTTAATGAAGGACAAACTTCTTAACACCTAAAAATTTTAAAGTATAGAATCAATTCTTTAAAAAGGGTTTTGATTTTGAAAATGATGATGGCAACATATGTACAAATGTGCTTGATACAATTGATGTATGGATTGTTACTAAGAGCCCGGAATAAAGTCATTTATTAATTTAAAAAAAAGTTTTCCTTATAAAAAGAATACTTGCTTACTATCTAAAATTGATAAAGATATTGCAGAATAGATGTAAAATTTGGCTCTGATATTCTGCACTATCTTCTCTAGTGTTTGTAAAAGAGATTTCTATGTATTTTTTTCTTTTGACAATCAAATCTTCAGGTAGAAATCAATATGACTCCTGTTATTAAAGCTAATTACAAACTTCACAGTCAATAATGCTTTTAGATTACTTTTGTTTATTCATTCAACAGACACTTATTTAATATCATCGTGTACCCTAGTGGCACTGGGGGCTATGTGTTGGGCTGCTAATCATAAGGGGTTCAGATCCATCAGTAGCTTTTGCGGAGAAGGATGAGGCAGTCTACTCTTGTGAAGACCGATTGTCTGGGAAACCCTCTGTCGGGTCACTGTGTCAGAATAAACCTGATGGCAGTGCTTTGTTTGGGGTTTGCTATGAACCAGGCTCTCTGCTGGACACTTCATGAGTTCTTTTTATGGATGAGAGCATGGCTTGCCATTTTTATTTAATGAAGAGGAAACAAGCAATCCAGATGCTGTCCAGGAAAGAGTAGACAAGATTTGATTAGCTTATTGGGTATTTATTATGATGCAGAGTGTGACTGTCTATTGGGGCCAAAGCTCGGGCTATGACGTCACCTTTGAATTATGCTGAAGAGTCACATACTGGCGAAAAGTCTAAAGATATTGGCAGTTGTGATAGTTTTAAGAATGAAGCTCCACAACTTGAGGGGATTATAAATGAGGACTTATTTTCTTGATCAAAACAAGCTTGCAGAACATCTTTTAGCTCATCAACAAGTATTTTTTTGTTACTGCATGCCAGGCACTGACGTAGGTAAGCAGCTGTTCCTTTCCCGTCTAGCACCCTTTATCGATTCTGATGGAACCCCAATAATAGGGGGGGGGGGCGCTAAAGGTATTATCTTGCTTCGGGCTTTTTGAGATCCTTGAAGTCAAGATAGTGATCAGGCTATTTGCAGACCTGAGTGTTTACATCATTACAAACACGAGTTGGGTACACATCATGTTAATATTATCAGAGGGCAGGGATTGAAGGCAATTTTCAGAGAGACTTATTCCTTTTTTAACCCATCCCCAGAGCAATCTTATAAGATCCACAAATTTTCTTCCCAATCTCATTTCATCAACATCTGCTGAAAGAAAAAAATATGAGCACACATTGCAAACATAAACATGTCTAAGCTAATGCTGTTCACCTTTTTTTTTAAGCCTGACAATTTTTCCTACCTCCTTTTGAGAGCTATTCATAGTTGCTGTGAACGGAGGGCTTTTATAGAATTCGTTTATGGAGTCTGGATAACCCCATGTTAACACAGGCTCTGCACGTGCAAGTCCCTGCGATGTTTTGCATTCAGAAGTGCAGTTCAGAAATAATCAAGAGAGGTGTGGCCAAAAGAGATAAGAACAATCTTGGAATATTTGCCAGAGCAAGTATTGGAAGGGCCCCACGTTGTGGTTTCCGCTCCGACAGTCGGCTCTAGACAGGGGGTTGGGTAGGCTGATCCGAGCCTACTGCACTGCCCTCGAATTTCCTTCTGCACATGCAGCACCCCGTAACTTTCAGAAGGGGCTTCCTTGAATCCACATGTCTTTGCACACTTTAGTGAATTGGACTTTTTAATTGGGAGATTCATATTTTAGCCTCCTTTGAGACTATCTCTAATGGAGTTCATTTGAAGACCTTTGGGATTTTTGTTTTCTAATGATTCAGCACATCAGTAGTCTAGTTCTCAGAACCGGAGTTGGTTTTCGCGCACACAGTCTCTCACGAACATGCATCTGTACACGGCAAAGGCTCTGAAAGCCAGAACTCGTGGGACAGGTGGGGTTTTCCTGGTTTTGCAAGTTCTAACAGGTGCAGCCATACTATTTTTTTTTTTTCAAATCACTTGTTTTACTGGAAGATATTAGCAGGTTCCTTCTCAGAAAGTTTCCACCTTACACAGGTTGTAGCTTTCATAGGCGTTCACTATATATAAGCATGTGTGTTTTGAGTTAAAGCTTGTAACAAGGGCTTGTGTTAAAGCCTTCTGTACTCTTCAAAGGAATGTATAATATAGAAACATGGTCATTATAAAACAGGAGAAGGAACGGGAAAATGCATGATTTTGTTGTACATTTAATGGCCATTAATCATAAATGTAAGGCTCCCAAGCGAGGCATGTCTGTCAACAGTACTTAGCAAATTGCTCCCCGTGGGAAGGATGAGCAGCCTCCAGACTTCCTGGGAGAAGCATTCACCAGTGAATTCTAAGCAGCCTGCAATTAGTGCATGTTTTCTGGAAATGGAATCATGAAGAATGTGTTCAAAGAAATTGCCTCTAAATATGAAGGGCAGAGCAGGTCATCTTGAATTCATTGTACTCCGGCTTGACTCGTTGTATTTTAGAAGACAGAGCAGCAAATATCTTAACATTTTCTAGTTTTGTTCTCAATAACAAACAAAATTCTTCCACCTCTTGCAGGTACACTTTCTCCATTGTTCTCAGTTCTTCTGTGGATAGCAGTGGCGGTCTGCACATCCATGCTGTTTTTCTTCTCCAAACCCGTGGGGATTCGACCATTTCTTGTGTCAGTAATGCTCAGATCAATATATACGATAGGTCTGGGGCCTACTTTAATACTTCTTGGTGCAGCTAATGTAAGTACTTGTTTTGTACTGTTATGAATTTAAAGCATATTAAGTGTAAATGGCCATCATTATTCTGTGTTCATTATGCAGTATGTTCCACGTTATTGTAAATCTAAATGAATCAGGATTTCATTTTTATAGCCTTTATTTTGAAAAAAGACAAGTGGAAATTTGATTTGGTAAAGAGGGTTGCTTTGGGGCGTGGCGTAGTTCTTCAGTCAGTTCAGTCCATTTAACCCAATGAAATGTGAATGCCTTCTGCGCCCTTTACCTACAACGATCGACACACAGTGACCCTGAGCCACTGTTAGCATCCTCACTTGGCTTCTGCATCACCCCGGAAAGAGGGGGCTCTGCTCAGTGGAATTTTAGGGGGAAATATCCTTTATCAACCGACTTAAGAAAAATAATTGTCATTTGAGGAACTATGTGAACAAAATCTCTGAACTGACAAAAGGCACAGATGAGATTTGTTTTTGTCTAGTTTTTTGGTTTTATCAAATTTAAAATACCAGACTAAAAGAGCACATTTTGAAACTGGAATTTAGGTAAATTTAGGCTATGTAGACCAGGGACAATTTCAATTAATGAGATCAATATTTATAGAAATAATTGTACCCAAGAGACAAAAATGTTAAGGAATTAACTAAACAGCTCTCTATTTGGAAAAGCTGTAAGGGAAGCTAAATGATAATGCTAGTTAATGCACAAATAGCCAGGTAATCAAATAATTATGAAAAGTCTGCTGAATACTTGTCTTTTTCTATACCTTCTATTGGGTTTCTAGCACTATTTGATACTCTAGTATCTGTATACAAATGATTTTCTCCTGTAGCACATAAGAAAGGGTTTCAAAACGTTTGTGGAAAATGGTTTTAAAAGATAATGAAATTTTACTCCAAGTTTTTGAAGCCCCTTCATACAATTACTATGGATAATAATTGATAATTCAATGTCTGAAATATAATAGAATATTTTGCAAATAAATGAATGGGTAAGTGCATGATTATCCTTATTATATTTTTACACATTTGCATTGCCTGGACATAAACTGAGTGGCACATGTTTATTGATAGTACATAAGTGCAGTAGTTTACCAAACTTTTTAAAATGATAAAATTGAGCTGACATGGCCCATTCCATGCTTTTTGCACTCTGTCTTACATTTTCATTCTTAAACATGGCATAAGATCTGTGGGACAGCTCCTGGTTAATAGAAAGGAGCTTTGGTGGTATAGTGGTTATGTGTTGGGCTGCTGACTGCAAGGTCAACAGTGTGAAAGCACCAGCTTTCTACTCCCATAAAGTTACAGGGCTTTCTACTCCCATGGAGCCCAGTGGTGAAGTGGTTATGCTTTGGGCTGCAATCTGCATGGTTGGCAGTTCAAAACCACCAGCAGCTCAGAAGAAGAAAGACTGGGCTTTCTACTCCCATAAACAGTTACAGCTCTGAAACCCACAAGGATCAGCATTGATTTGATGGGACTTTCTACTCCCATAGAATGACAGCCTCAGAAACCCACACGGGCAGCTCTAACCTGTCCTATAGGATCACCGTGAGTCAGCATGGCCTCAATGGCAGTGACTGAGTGAAGTAGAACACTCAGGCAGCCAAATCACCAATTGTTCCTCAGTGATTGTTAACTAAGAACGTGTACTGTACCTACAAAGAGGTCTAGCTAGAAATTATGGATTTTTTTGCAGGCAGAGAGCTTCACATTCATATTGGTGTCATGGTATTCTCATTCTCCATATGTGCTTCAATACCTCACACTTTAATTTTTGTACTTTAATACCTAAAAAGTGTTAACATAAACTGAACTTACATTTTGACGTTTTGGAAACAATCTAATTTTGTAGCATTGCCAAGGAAGCAATTTGGAGAACCTGAATTTATCTAACGTCTAAAGTTATGCTAGTGTTTTTGACCTCTTTTTACTGTTACATTGAATATTGACCTAAATTATTTGAAAAAGCAAATACTATAACTGGCAAATGGATCTCAATAAGACATTAATCAGAACAAGAAAACCCAAGTTTGAGAAATAGAACAATATGTGGAGCTGGGCCAAGACTCACAGACATTTCCCAGGCTCCTGTTACATAATAGACACTGCGAATATCAAGAGTTAGAGGTTGTGTTCCAGAAGCTTATGTCCCAGACGCACCAATTTGCATTTCATTTGTCCCTGGACCAAGAATATGTAAGGAGATAAAGAATAGCATTCAGCTGTCTATTGTGAAAACCAAGATGTTCGGTTATTTTGTAAAAAATGTTATCCCTCATGTGAGACAGAATGAAGAGCTGGTTCTTCTGCATAATTTGGGGGGACTGCCTGCTGTTGGGTGCCCTAGTCCATGGCTGACTCAGCGATCCCACGTGACAGAGCAGAGCTGCCCCACAGGGTTTCCTAGGTTTTCTTCCTTATGGAAGCCAACCACCCAGTCCTTCTCCAGCGGAGCTGCTGGTTATGTACAAATAGCCAGCCTTCCAGTTAGCAGTCAGGCTTGACACTGTTGTTCCACCAGGGTGCTTTGGGGGAGGATAGCTGCAGCATAAGAAGTTATCTTTGTGGTTTCCATGAGGCGAGTCTTATACTTCCATTTCTCCATGAGAAGAAATGCACATGGAAAAGTCTCTGTTTCGTTCGCCATGTGAACGTCTAAAAGGTCACTGTCATCAAGTGCCTTCAGGCTCAGAATGGCCCCATGGGGCAGAAGAGACTGCTCCATGGGGTTCCCGAGGCGGAATCTTTATGGAAGCACTCTGCCTCGTTTTTTCTCTGTTGCAGCAGCTGGTCGGCTCAAACTGCCCCCTTTTGGTGATCAGCCCAAGGCTGAACACACTGTGCCACCATGACTCCCACGTACCAACCTGTTGGTACTCTAATCACCTTTCACAGTATAAAGTGTCTGTTTGCATAGCCCTCAGCATACGTTATGGTTAGCTAGTCTAGGGATTTTGACCAAATGTATGCTAGATTTAGCACAAATTTTATAGAATAATTCTAAATTTGATATCATTGATATTAATAGAAAAGTGGTCACTTACGGTTTGATGTTGATGGATTCATTTTAAAAATAACAGATAATCTTTACTTTTAATATAGAAGCTTACTTTAAAAAATTATGTCTGGTTTAGCATTTTCCAGGAGACAGAAAAAGGAAGACATAGCAAATGAAAGCATGTATCTATCTTGTTCTGTACCTTAGAGTTTAGAGTGATTCATATAATAATTATATATGTATTATATATGTGTAAATTTAATTTATTCTTAAAAGTTGATACTTGGTAACAGATGAAGGCATGAGTATTAAATTATAGTTATCAGAAACAGGACAAAGAATTATACTTTATAGTTTAAGCTTAATAAGAATCAGAATGTCAGATCTTCAGCAAATCATGAGCCTCTGAATTGTATTCTTTTCAGGGAAATGAAGATACTAAAGCCTGGTCTGATGTTGAGTAGACAAGTTCAGATGGGGGTGGAAGTCTTAAACAGAGCAATAATAGTGACAACAACACTCATAATCATTCCTCAGTGCTGTTGCACTGGGTCAGTCTGAGTCAGAGTGAGTGTAGGTGGGCCCTCTAGGGCTATCCATCTCTACAGGAGCCGAACGCCTCGTCTTCTCGTGGAGAGGCTGGTGGGTTTGAACTGCCAACCTAGAGAGTAGCAGACCAGTGCTCACCCAACAGTTCCAATTACTTACCATTTACCAAGAATCTGCTACATGAAAACTATTTCATTGCAAACCATTGCTATCTTGACCATAATGGCATGAATACTTGGGTTCACAGTGAGTTGTTTCAGTGTCTTTGAGAGTGTTAAGCAAAACTAGAAAGGAGTCAAATGGAAGAAAATTAGTCTTTTAGACTGTTTTCTAAGCACTTATTTTACTGGTTCCTACTTATTAGGAAACTTAATTGGTTATTATCTTTATTGTTTCTAAAAACCTAAGTTTTGCCTGGATTGCAGCTGACTTCACTACTTTTGGCACAGGTTGTCTCAATATTCTAGATGTTTAAAGAATGAAAGGGTTATTTTTCTCTCATGAAGCACATTTTATAACCTAGGACATTATTCTTTCCACTCTCAACACTGCGTTATTGGTTATTAGTAATTAAGACTAATATCTTACTCTGTCACATATCAACATACATGTTATATTTTAGGTATAATTTAATACTTTCCAATGTAATTACAATGATTTGAGAGCCTCTTTGAGTAAATGTGCAATATTTCCAATCATATGGATGTTATATACTTTGCTTTACCATTCCGTTCTTTTTTGCTATTTAGATGCTAGATATTTGGCTATAATACATTAATAATTAAGCGTATACCTATGAAAGGTTTAAAATTTTTTCTTCTGAACTAAAATGTATTTTTCTTTTTTTGACGGTGCCCAGTAATATGTAAGTCATTTGTTTTCTCAGCGCTTGTGATGTGGAAATATTTCCTTATGCTTGAACTTGGCCTCACAATTTTGAAGAAAGGAAAACAATGCAATTTAGTGGATAGTTTGTTTATGAAAAACAAACTACTGCTTTTAAATTCAAGAGTGTCATGTCATTCCTTACTTAATTATGGATATTTTTGAGGGGTGACAAGTCTGTTACTGCTAAGCTATAGGGTTGAGAACCTCCATATGTTCACTTAACATATATGCATTCAATTATACAAGTGGACTTCAAAAAGTTGACGAAGAAATGGAATTAAAAGTAATGGAGTTTTCCAATCAATTTGATGAAACCCCTTCGTATAAGCTGAAACATTCATATTCTCTCTCTCTCTCTCTCTCTTTCACACACACACTGTTTTATCTACTTATGTACTTTTCACTACATCTGGCATTCATTTGCAGAAACAGGAAACTGCTCCAACTCCGGAGGAAAATAGCATGCATTGAATAGTGGGAAATAGTTACACCACTCATTTTACAGTACTGTTTTGTAGATAATTTAAAAGATTTCCAGGGCAATTTTCAGTACATGCAAATTTCAC